AACCGTTGAAGTTCCCAGGCACTAGCAGTACCCAGGCACTTTGGAGGACAAGGAGGCAGGCAGTGGTCTAAGTACCTTGTTATCGAAGAAAGTTAATTCTTTCTGAGTCACAAGTACAAGAATACAGTTTTAATAAAACAGTATAGTGCCCACCCAGCACTTGAATTGAGATGCTTTTTCAAGCTTGCCATGAGAGAAAGATGACTGTACTGCTGACTGCCTGCCATCGAGGTCCGCAAGTGGCGCGCAGGCAGTGGTCAGTGGTCGCTGGCAGAGGCTTCCAGGTTGATTCGGGTCCCGAGAACATGGGGCGCCGTCAGGGGCCGAAAAAGTATCAGCACAGTGTGTATCCAGCCGTGGGCGTGTTTCACCCTTCCCTTTCAGCCCGTCTCGAAACTGCCAGGTTGCGAGGTGAGCCCCGGGAACCTTACTTGCTGCAGGGCTCATGCAGAGCAGCAGAGGATACGAAGTCTTGCTGGGCTTCCTACTTCCTAATACTGTCTAGGGTCTAATGCGGCATTCGGATCTTCCTACGTAGACTTCCGACTGAGACGATGGGACGGGGATGAGACGGCAGCCAAGGGAAGAATGGCACACGCATGAACAGCTTTCCGCAAACTCGTGGTACATAGGTAGTGTGCCTTCTGCCTCAGTCGTACCTAAGGTACCTACTGTCAGCACCTAGGACTTTCAACTGTCCAGTCCGGTCGTTTTCTGATAGGGCTAGCCAATAGTCACTGCCCTGTGCTGATGGGGACACTTGCCCCCCGAAATTCTACTTCTCGGGTTGTCGCTGGCAAGCACGGCAAAGTGCCCAATGCCCAGCTCGTGTCGGCTACGTCCGGCCGACGCTGTGGAGTATGGCTACGTAATATTGTTGCAAGGTCCTAAATATGCTCATCGCCATCAGCCGTGATCTGAATGAATGCCATGAGCATCAACATCAAGGGACTTCGCAGATAAGTAAATCCAGGAAATAAGACGCGAGTACACACATGGTCGTAGAGCGTTTTCTTCTTCTTCTTCTTCTTCTTCTTCTTCTTCTTCTTCTTATTTTCTTCTTGCCTTGGGCCCACATCAGGTAGATATTTGATCGCAGCAGGGGTGATTGCCAAGATGCGAGGAAGGATGGTGAAAATTGCCCGGGAAGGGAGAGAAAGAGAGCCACGAGAGCAAGGCCAAAAGGATAGTGCTCCCGATGGACCCACTCCTTCCCGAGCATCACCGGCCGGTGCATCCAACCTCCGTCCTGATCCCCCCGTTCTGCCCCGTTCTGTCCTCCGTGAGTGTATTATGTAACTCTGCCTTAGGTAATGCTATGGTACCTACCTTAGTAGAGAAGGCTCCCTGCGCACAAGCTTGGACCCGTTTTCGATGCCACCCGCCCGGCAGGCGCCCACGCGCCTGCACCTTAGATACCTACGCCGCGGCCCAAACGCGTCCAGACCAGACAAGATCGAGGAAGGTAGGCTGTAGCACTGACGTTCGGCGTCCATCCACGCCAGAAAGTAGAGTAATTTGATTGCATCCACTCGACTTCATCCCGTGTCTTTTGCCTCGCCTTGCCATTATTTTACTTTCTAGTACTGAACAACGCCCCCAGCATTCTACTTCCGTTTTGACTCACTCGAATTCCCACCTCGGGTTTTTTTTTCCCCCTCCTCGATCAGCTTTCGTCTTGGTCCATACCATCAGCCGCTCGTCACCACCTCACGATCCCTTCCATACAGTTGACCCGCAGACACTTCGATTGATCGACGGCCAACCTCCTACCCCAATTCGAACATACCTCTTCGAGACCTTGATTTCATCGGCGCTTCACTGCGCGACTATATCGTATCAATGACGCGACAGTCTTGAAGTATACCCAAGACGTCACCAGCAAGCACGCAGCATCATCAGGCCCCACGATTTCTGGCCGCATCGATTCCTCCTTCGACCGCCTTGGCGCATCAACGCAGAACGCAAGCAGAACCATGGTATCATCTCGCAAAAGGACACTGCAGGAGGCTGAGAATGGCTTAAAAGAAGAAGACTCTCTGCTCCTTCGCTTACGGAATCAATGGCAATTCGCAAATTTGTGCCAGTGGATCTATCTCTTTGGCAAGGTGGTCAAGATTGATGATAACCTAGATACAGAGGTATGCGATTCTTTGCCTTAACTCAATATTGCGTGGGCGCTACCACTTACTGACTGCTCGCTTCTAGGACATCGAGACCGATTGCCTGAAGCCGAATGCCCCTGTTCTCCAGGATATCGGTCTCGCCTTACTGAAGTTCGTTTCGTCGCATCGTGGCCTCACGTACGTTATTGAGCCTTGTTGATGTCGCTTGTCGCATGTTGGGACTTCCCATGCTAACATGTCGTAGACACGAGCTCTTTGACGAGTACACGCGAAGGCAATACTTGGCAAGGACACCTGAGAAGAACCCTTTTGGCACAGAAGAAATCGCAGCCAAGTTCACAGACTTCGATGTCTTGACCAAGGTAAATGCATGGTTACTCTCTAAGTCGGTGCAACGTGTCTAACCTAGACGCAGGTACGAATTCTTCAACAAATGACACAATGGGTCATGGCTCGCCCCGAGCGCGTCAGGGAGAAGATGGAAGAACAAAAGGACATTGATCAGACTAGCTGGGTGAGTACTCAGGAGTTCATCTGCTATGCTTTGGTATTCTAACAGGCCTGTACAGCGGATTGAGCCCATCGGCTGGGACAAAGACGATCGGACGTATTTTGTTCTTGATGACAATAGAGTCTATCGAATGACTGAACCGCCAAACCCACCTACTCCCAAGAAGAAGGCCAAAGCTGCGAAATACGGATCCCGTTCAAATAAAAGACGGCGCCTCTCTGCACCAAACGGTACAGATCATGCGGACCAGTCTGTAAATGAACCGACCGATGCTTCCGGGGACACGACCGAGGACACTGGCCTCGGCAGCATGAAATGGGAATGCCTCGCTGTCAGCTTGGAAGATGTACAGGAGATCATTGCGTCTTTCCACAAAACTAAGGACGACAACGAGAAGGTCTTGCGAGACCAGTTGCAAGAGCATTTACTTCCTATCCTAGAGAAGCAGGAGGAGTCGAGGAAGCGCAAGGAGCAGCAGCGAGAGAGAGAACTGTTGAGTCTGGCTAAGATGGCAAATGCGAAGCGTTCTAGCCGCATCGCGAATAAGGCAGAGCAGCAGAAGCAAGAAGAGAAGGCTCAGGAAGAGGCCAAGGTCATTCAAGTCCAACGGGCCGCAGCAAAGAAACAAGAGCAACAACAGCTCAAGATCGAAAAAGAGCGGGACCTCAGACTGATATCCCGAGAGAAACGGCTGAAGGAACGGGAGGCTCGTCGCTTACAACATGAACGCGAACTTTCTCAGCTTTCAGAAGACAACCGCAATGGCTCGGGTCGTATCTCGGAGCGACGGCTGCAAGCCGAGATAGAGAAGAACATGCGAGCACTGGAGGAGCTAGAAGACGAGGAGGAAGACTGGATCTTCGATTGCATCTGCGGTGTCTACGGCCAGGTTGACGACGGCACACATAGCGTGGCGTGCGAGAAGTGCAACGTCTGGCAGCACAGCAAATGCCTTGGCATTAGCGAGACCGAAGCTGAGAAGCCTGAGTTTCATTTCGTCTGCCAACCATGCAAGCGGCGTGAGCAAGAGGCTGCGGCAAAACCAAAGACGACTATCAAGCTCAAGGTAAACCGCCCAGCTGACGTGGCGTCCTCGCCTGCGAAGCAGCCGTCAAAGGAGAGCGACCGCCAGGTGAGTCCGACAGGCCATGACGGGTCGGTTCCATCGAGGGGGGAACCGGTGCTCGGGCAAGACATTGGGGCACTATCAGAGTCTGCGATCACTAGCCGCCGCTCTGGATCACCGACCCAACCTCTAGGGATAAATGGAGCCAAGGAGACCAGCCCGGAACCAAAAACACCCAAGGCTGAGAACGATGATGCTGATGATGGGCGAGCCCATCGTGACGCTACTGCTGAGAAGTCCTTGGCGAACGGCCACGACCATGTGCCTGCAAGCCCACCGCGGGCGAGAACCACACCAGCACCGCGGGACGTCTCATCGCCTAGACATGGAAACTCCAGTCTGCTTGCCACGCCCATCATCAGCCGCGAGCATGGCATCCCGGGCTCGGCACACTCATCATTCACACTGCCCGCTCCTGAGGGTGGACTTTCTCCGACCAAGCATTCTCCCCCGGCGCCCCGTCCGCAGCCCCCAAGCATCAAAACGCCTGCCCTCCCTGCCGTCCTACCGCCTGTGGCGACGCTTTCGCCGTCCCCACGTCATCAGATTCTGACGCCCCCTATCAAGCCTGCGGAGCCAGTCCGACGGCCACAGCCTCCAGGTGCAAGTCCAAATGCGCTTTGAGACGAGACAGAGAGTCCGAGGCGTGCGTAAGACAGCTGAGTCGATGAATACGCGGGGTCACTCCTGTATAAGAAGTATGGGAGCCATGTCATGGGCTCTGCCTGGTGGTTGAATTGTTATGACCCTTCCACAGAGTGGACATGACTTGGCTGTTTGGATGTGTATGGATAGTACTTGTATGACGAACGACTGCATAGGATACCTCAGGTAGTAACGAGTAAAAGTTTCCTCAACACGAGCTCATGTGAAGGTGATCTAGGTCATTGCTAGAGACAAAATGGCGGGGAATACTGCTATCCCTGCGAATGAGATCGAGCCTCAGGTTTGGGGATATTAACCGGGTTCGTTTCTTTAGGGATATGCGAATGGCAACAAGTATCCTGTACAAGAGACTGATCGTGTCCCAGGTCAGATGAAGCTGCACGAGCAGCAGTACACGCTAGCTATTCTTGAGATGCGTTTGAATGTAGTTCGATACGGCCCTAGATATGCCGCTGCATGTCTCAGAGGTGAACCGCTCTTTCTGGGAGAGAGCACAACCAGCTGCACCGGAGCCAGCTACGATGACTTCCTCTCAAGGCCGTATCTGGATGGTCTGGAAGACAACAGGTTGATGACTCAAAGTCAGAAATCACATCTAGTCTCACGATCAACGAACCAATGGTCTAAGCTTTTAGACAGGCTTGGGCAATGGTTTGAGCGGCAACCTATGTATCGGTTCGCTCATGTCTTGCATGGGGAGGACGGGGAAGACGGGCCTACGAGGACAGACATAACCAGGGTGATTTTCGGCTGTATTTGCCTGGCCTGACATGGCACAAATCCTTGACATCTCTTTCCCGTTGGTCTCGAGGGATGTCTCGGGCTGTTGAGATTACAGACGATCGTAGACGTGTGGTGGTCTATCATCACCACGGTCCACTGGCGTGTTTTCCCCCACGCTTACGTTACGGGACCACGGGGGGTCGCGCCCTGCCGTCGCTGTGTGCCATCACCGGGGATGGCACGTTGCCATCCTTGGGTTGGAGAGCAACGGCGTCCTTGATTTAATGGTGACTTTAAGGGAGGCAGTTGAGAGTGGACTTGCACCTCGGCACAACCTCGCCGCATGGCTTCCGGCCGCACGACCTGAACAGAATTATATGAGCAAGCAAATGAGCGAAGAGCATGGGAGGAGGGCAAAGGACAGTCTCCAGAGAAAACTGCACGTCTGCCATGAGGCATGCGTGCCCATGCTACCATGCATGCACATGCGGAAAAGCGGAGAGGCGAATGGAGACGGCCGCGGGCTACATTAGAGCCGGAAGACATATATGATCAGCCACCCTACCTCGCAGCAGTGCCAAGATGAGCCCGAGTCGTGTTGGACCTGAGGTAAACGCCGATACGGATACCATCTAGTGGAAATGGCGGAGGCGGCATGTGAGTCCAGGGCCCAGGCATCATCTCTCACTCAAATTTGTGAATTTCTGATTCTCAACTCCTATGTAGTCCTCCTGCGGATACTGACGAAGAGTTAAGGACCGGCCGGGGGGGCCGTTACAGCAGCCTAGTGATGCATGGCTCCTGCAAGAACAGGTGCCTTGCATGAATGGAAAACGAGTTGAAAGCGCAGATGCATGTGGCGGTATCCGTAGCCTTTGGACGTCTGGAGATGAGGTGCCAGTGGGTGTAAAGAGCAGGGGCCTACGGGAGTCGGGGATTTGGTGTGTAGGAACGTGGTGTTCGTGGGTAGTGTGGTAGTTTGTATGTAGATTTGGCCTGGAGGGGGCCAGAGGCTGGAATCATCGGATGCCATTGGATGCGCTCCGTTGGGATCGACATGGGGCCTGAGGATGCAGCATCCAACCATCCATCCATCCATCCCACCGTGCCACCGTCGGTGCCGTTCCTGTGTGCCTGCAGCGCGGCCGGCCAGTGCCTGCGTATGTGGAGAAGAGAGCGAAAAAGAGGCGAGATGGGGCCGCCGTCAAGAGTCAGGACGAGACACTAAGACGCAGACTAGGGGATTTTCTGAGCCAGCTCTTGGGCCAGATCTGGAGCCAAGAGGCACGGACGAAGACATGGCGCAAAGTAGCTTGCAGGCGTAAGCCGCAAGCGCAGAATGACGGGCAAGTGGTTCGGATGACAGACGACCGGGCAGAGTCTCTTGCGGCGTCCGGAAGCATGGCGGTATGGAAGATGGAGAAGCTGAACTGGAGTCTAGAGACCAGAGAAGACCGACTAGGTCAGAGGCTGACTGAGAGAGCGCGGTAGCTCTCCCGCACTCTGCAGAGGGCGGCATCCTTCGGAATACAACGGGCTAGCCGAATATATGAACCTTATGGGCCGGAAACTCTCATCTCTCCGGTTAGGCCAACACTAAGTAGGTACCTCAGGTATGCCTCACCTCAGTCTTGGCCCAGGATCAGAAGGTCCTGATGGTTTTTTATGATGCTTGGCTGGCCGAGAACGACTAAGAGCGGAGAACATCGTAGCAGAATTGGGGAGAATCTAAACGATAGTTGCTGAGTGGATGATGTGCTATGCAAGATGAAGGATTGAGCAGATGTATAATGATTGAAAATGAAGTTCAGATGCCGATTTTTGCTGCGCGCGTTGAGTATCATGGGTGTGTCGGGCAGGCCCTGGTCACTGTGGGGATGATTTGCGAGTGTTTCCTATTGATGTGGGTTTGAATGGGAAACAACGAGAAACAAATTTGCTTTGCAATTGGAGGAGGTGTACACGGTGCTTGAGCACCCAGTAACGACTGACCAAGGCCAGGCTTCCGACGTCGGCTGGGGGAAAGGGTACTACGTATGTTCGAATATTGTCGGTTGGCTCTTGGAAAGGAGGGCAAGGTATCCATCCGTAAGGTAAGGTAGTCTTCATTTACCAGCTGGACGGTCGTGGCCATCTGCTGGTCTGGCCCGAAATGGCGAGGCCGGGTTCTGATGCAAGGGCACGGTTGACGATGCAGATACCGGGGCTGCATGTTTGTGATGAAGCGAACGAACAGAGTGAGGATGTCAGACGAGTGAGAATAGCGAAAAGAACGTTGGCCATGGCTTGAGATATGACCTACAGTATTACCTTGGTGGAAAAAGAGAGAAACCTAAGTATTTGAGTTCCGTATCTCATGCTTCGGTTGAAGGACGGAGAATCCAAGGCGCCGCCCAAGATGAAAATACTTTAAGGTACCTTACCTTCTGCTGTAAGAGACAAAAAAAAAGACGGAAGGAGGGGACGAGAAGCAACAGATTTCTGAAGTAGGCACGTACCTAATAAGGTCAGGTACCTAAGGTAGGTAGGCATGTCAGTACTTGCCCAAGACGAGACGGGAAAGAGAGAGACGGACATGCACCGATCCCCACGCACCATGGCAGGAAGGAAGGACCGACGTAGAAGAGTCAAAGAATGAGCGAGGTGGAATGCGCGCCACGCTCTGTTTCTGGACAAGACCAATGAGAAGTGACGCCACCAACACTTCCGGCAGCAGAAGGAGCAAACAAACATTCCAATTCCCTGCCGACCCTGCCTGCCTGTGCGGCCTGCCTGCCTCGCCTTCCCTGCCAAAACCGTCTTGCGTGAGGTGCTGCGTTGGTTAGGTCCTTGGTGAAGGACGGGGAGGGCAGTGCGTCCCACGCTCCCACTCCCACTCCCACTCCCACTCCCACTCCCACCATTCCCAACTTTATCCTCTGGGCTCGTTGCTTTTTCTTCCTCCGGGCCAGGGCTCCACGTTGCCGATCATTTTGCTCTTGATGCTACGCAAGGTACTTACAAGATCTAGCCGCTCTTCAACCTGATTATCCGGCTGGTTCTAGCTGAACAAACCTCAGATATTTACATCGCATCTTCCATCCCCGGTCACCAGCGGTTTTGTATCATCATCGACTCCTTTTGTCAATCTTTGCCTCACACGATATTATATCGACTGTGGCATGGCCTTCCTTGCTTCGGCCTCTCTCCCGATACTATTTTAAAAATCCTGCACCGTGTTTCCCTCCCTGCTTTCCTTCATAAGTGTTAAAAAAAAAAAAAAAAAAAAAAAAAAAGGCATGTTCAGCCGCGGAGGGAGAGACGAACACGTGCACAGACATCCGGGGAGGCGTGGCTAAGCTAAGGGGAGGGGTGAGTGGAGGGGGAAGCTCTGTCAGAGTAAACACTGTCAGAAGCTCAATCATGTATGAATGGGCACGATAAAATAGCAGGATGGGTGGAAGACAAGGGTGCAGGACAGGGCGAGGAGAAGCGAACAGGCCATCAGTCAAGTTGGAACTTGAGTGAGTTCCCTCGTAAATGGCTTTGCCAGAAGATGGATCTTGGTCTTGAACTGACCGGCTATCAGCGTGAACCGGTGGGGGAAAACGGGATGAAATGACGAAGGCTGAGGGGAGAGAGCGAGACCTGAACCCCTGTTCAGATGGGAGCCATGCCGTCAGTTCAAGAGGGAAGCGATGCGTCTCGTCACTTTTGAACGTCCGCGCCGGTAGCAACATCAGACGAGGCAGATGCAGCACCACCCGTGCAATTGTGGCAGAAAGACATCTTCAGACTTCATATGGGAGGAAGCTGTCTCCCCACCTTAGCGATGCCCGCCCTGTCTTTATATCCCCTGTTGCTTGTTGGTGAGCAATGTCGTGCCGCACCGCGCTCCTCACATCGTCTCTGCCGCTATTTCATGTTGGTGTATTTGCGTCGTTTACCGCCCCCGTCAACATTGACCAGTTTCGTGTACATGTCCAGGACCCAGACATTGCAGGAACAAGGCATGGCATGGCATAACATGGCAATGGTTCCGTGCCGCGTTGGCCACTTGGGACCGCCTGACACGAGTAATCATAATGGCAGCCGACGATATGGCCGAGCTCGCGATATGGACACACAACCTAACACCAGGATACCGGACACCAGCGTCCCCCGGCCTTAGCAGGGGCGGGGATATTTCTCGCTCGCTTTAACCGAAGACGGCCAAACAGACACAGCAGCACCAACAGATGAGTTGCCATTTGGTGGTGAGGGCTTGGTAAGGCTGGTACGGCCGCCCGGCGCCGCTTTCAACCCCATGTCCGAATGCGGCAATCAGCTAGATGCTCTTTCGGACACAGAGAAGCCAGCGACGGCATAGAAGGGAGGCTAAAGCAAAAGAAGCAGAGTCCCAACTTGCCCAGATGCACATGCGTAACATGTAGACATAAAACCATCCAGCCCGGCCGAACGCTTTTCTTTCACTCCCCATCTCGCCCCTCCCCTCTTGCAAAGGGTTGAATGAATGAATCCTCTCATCGGTTCTCCCTTCTGACAAAGACCGACTTCCCTTGGCCTTTTCTATATGCCTCTGGGGTTCTTTGAGCACGACCAGGATCTCTTATTCGCTTGAAATTCAGATTCAGATTCGGATTCCGATTCAGATTGAGACCCTCAGACATCCATCTGGCACGCTCTCTCCCCCCCCTCTCTCTCTAACACACATACACACCCACATCATCCACACATACAGCCATCTCAGCTCAGCTCAGCTCACCCTTGCCTTCTATTCCCATTTCAACTCCCCACCTACCCCTCTGCAACACCGCCGCACTCCCGAAGGACCAAGAAAGAAAGTGAAAGAAACCCTGCTGGCAAGGAGACGCGGGGCGGCAACCCATCACCATCTTCACCCAACGTTGCTATCTTGGGACTGGACGAGCGGGGATCAGAAGAATAGCCAATGTGCACCGGAGACGAGCAGAGAAAGAGAAGAGAAGCACCGAGGAACAACGAGAAGCGAACAACCGCCTGAACAACAACAAGAACACTCAAAGCCGATAAGAGAAAGCCCGAAGATACCACCCGAGAGCATCAGCACCCTACCGCCTCTCTCCCACTTGCTCTCGCCCCCACCTACCATCAAAGAGAAAGAAGACAGGCTATTCATGGAGTTTCTCATGCTTGGCCTCTCGTCATATTACCAACCCTCATAAGCCTGACCCTGACCAGGCCTGACCAGGCCTTCATCAGTTGGACATTGTGGTTGCTTCCCATATCCCAGGAGAACGGTTCCAGATCACCACCAATCCCTGCTTCTCGGCTGCTTGCAACCTCGTTCACCCGCCCTCCATCTTGGCCATCCCTGGTCCCTGCAACACCGCACCGCAACTCACTGCATACTTGCAGCTAGCTGCAGCTGCGTCTGCAATAGGCATACGGATCAGAGACACATACACAGGCAGAGACTCCAGGTACTTCCTGGACAGCCAACGGCACAAGGGCCTCTCAGGAACGAGCTGCCCGTAGTATCTCTGCCTCTCTCTATAGCCCTCCCTCCACTCTCTGGTCACCGGGGACTACTACTTCTCCCCCGTCCGATCCATCCTACCTAGCTCACCCTCTCCTTCTTTCTCATGCATACACCACCCCCTGCCTAACACCACCATCGGCTCCTCGACATCTACTGAATGTAGATAATCTGTGGGTGCAGCTGCCTCTTTCAAGCCATCTGCTCCACCGCTGCCATACCTGTCTTCTTCCCTCTCGCCTTTACTCACCTGGGAGCCTGCGTCTGCTGCCATACACATCCGTCACCTGACCCAGGCATTGCCTTGTGTTACCATCGGAGTTCAACACTTGCCTGTCGTCCAACGACTACTTTACCCATACACAAGTGCCGAGACAGCCGCAAGTGAAGACAAGAGCAAAACCACCAGAATTAGGAAAAGAAGCAGAACCCCCCCGAGGATCTGCGACACTTGAGATTCAGGCAACGTCGAGAGAAATCACTTGGTCTGCTTCATCGTCTCTCAGTCCACCGTCTTCGCCCTCTCCTTGCTACTTGTTGACCCAACACTGGTTAGCAGTCGACGACAGATAATTCCAACAGCTTTCCTCATCGATTTTAGCTCTGTGGGATGGAACAAAACGGTCCCCCATCTCCTGCTCCCTCGAACGATGATATCTACCCGAACGGACTGCATCACTTGATACGCCCGGAAGGAGCCACATCCTACCCGCGAGAGCACTTACACCCGAGTGATATGGGAGGCATGCAAACTCCTTCTCGATACGGTACGCCTGGTCCACGACAAGAAATGCAATACGATCACCACTCCCCATACTCACATCGCCCACATGATGGTCAGATGGTAAGCAGTCCCGTCCCGAGCTCAGCTCCACGTGTGTCAATATAGCATGTACTAAACAAGCCTCGACAGTCGTATGGTCATGGATATGACACAAGCGTCAGCTCCATATATGGCCCTATGTCCGGGGAGTTGAGCCACCAGGTAAGCTACTTCGTTGTTCAACTTGGCAATACAGACACTCACATGCTTCCTTACAGCCGTACAGCACCCCTGACACGTCGCCACCCACGCCGTCGAGGCCACCAGATGGGCTGACCACACGTAGCGGTCTCAGCATCCAGAAGGGGCCAACTACCATCAAGCCCCTTGCAGTGAGAGCATCACGTGTTGAAAAGTCAACGCCCAAGAAGAAGAAGGAGCGGGCAAAGTCTGCCAAAAAGGTTGATGTCGTTAAGAGCCCACTAAGCGAATTGGCAAAGGAGCAACCGCACATCCCAGTAGCGGACATTGGGGCCTATGTTCAGCGATCTTCAGAAATACGGATGAAGGAGGTCGAAGAGAGCAAGACCCCAGGCCGAATCAAGCGACCGATGAACGCCTTCATGTTGTACCGCAAGGCGTATCAGAACCTCGCCAAAAGCCTCTGTACGCAAAATAACCATCAACTTGTATCTCAGGTCTGCGGTGCCGGCTGGCCTTTGGAGCCGGAACACATTCGGGACCAATTTAATGAGTGGGCGAAGGAAGAGCGCGCGAACCACCAGCTTGCTCACCCGGGCTACAAGTTCACGCCTTCGAAACCAAGACCCAAAGCGAGAGAAGAAGAGGACTCAGACCAAGGCGACATGGATGACATGGAATGGAATGGCAGCCGCGCAAGCTCAAGGAGCAGGCAAGTGAGGAAACCCGGACATGGCAGGAACGAAGCACCAGCGTCCATCTTCCACAACTACCCGCCACTGCAGACAAGTCCCATGGGTCTGGGCGTGCAGACACAGTCCATGTACCATTACAGCAACCCTGGAAAACCTCTCCCAGCACCATATAGTCAGAACGGCCTTGGCGGCGGCCAGTACTACCAGCAGAGCGTCCAACAGCGTCAGGACGCCACCGGCTTTGTTGAAGACGTGCTCATCAGGAAGACGCCATCACCAGCGATGGGCTACGCAGCACCATCGATGGACCACCGGTACGACGGCATCGACCACTACGGCCCAATGTCGCATCCTGACGGCATCGATCCGATAATTGATCCGGGTCTAATGGGCCATGGAGGTCATCCGTACGGCGACATGTATGGCAATCACATGCTACCGCGATGGACGAATCCGCTCAACTTTGGCGACGGAAGGCAGGAACTGATGGATGGTATGGGATATGATGAAAGTCTTCTGACAGACCCTCAAATTCAGATCCTGAGAGGACCAGAGAGTAGTTGGAGAGTGGAGGAGCTTGACAGCAGCCACTTCACCAACAGTTGGATAGAACCAGAATGAGCAGAAGGAGCTTTGCTTCGGAATCGACTCGCTCCTGTTGTTTGAACATTGTCCGAGAAAAGGAAGGGCGTCAGGAGTATTGGGTATCTTAGAACGTAGGCGGGAATCTCATTTCTGTTTGGTTTTGTTGAGACTGGAGATGAACCATGTTATTGAGGGCGATCCTTGGGCAAACGAGCGAGCATGAAGTAAGAAAAGGGGAGAAGACGAGGAGAGAGGCCCGGGACTTGTTCCATCGAGGGCGCACACACCGTAGCTGAAGGCTTTCCAAACACAAGTACCTACTTATTGCTCCAGCTTGCAGTGCCATCCCGATAGACCTGCGGTCTCCAGAGCTGAAATGGTTACTGATCAGTAGAGATGGCGTTCGTTCTTCGCTGTGAAACCCGACGCCACGTCCCTCGGGCCCGCTTCTAGGGATGGCTGGCAGCTTGAGGGCGAAGTGGAGGTCGGAAATCCCTTATGAGCACGAGGTTTTATGATATGGCAATAAGACCCAGCCGTAGATATGTTTCCCCAGGTAGTAATGCACGAGTGACAATCCGGAGGGGACTTCGGCGGTACGCGTGGGGTCGGCCGTATGTAACTAAGCCAGGTATGGCCTTGTGTTAGTACGTTATCAGGAGCTTCGTTTGTGCACTATCTTCTCCGCAAAGTAACACTCAACCACTTTAACGAGGCTACAGCAACGTACGTGCCAAAGCTCCCGGCGCCATCGACTTCAACATTGAAACCATCCTAGCTAGTAGCCTGGTCTATCCTGCACGTCGCCCTTCGCCTACTCCACATACTGAGCTCTTGAGCTTGCTAAGGTACGCCTGGGACAATCTCAAATCTTCTCCGGCACCAAATCAGTCGACAAAAACAAGTGTTCATATTGAAGCAGCTGATCGGTATTACACCAACAGGCTCGCGTCAATTACGCTCTTACATCATGACGTGGATCTCGCGCTCGATCACGGCCATTGGCCTCCTTCTCCTCGGCCATGCGTGAGTCTCTCTCTCCCACGTTCCGTTCTCCAGCTAGCCTCGCTCGCATTTATCTTGACACCTGCTTTGTTGAACAGCTGCTACTCTGCGCAAGAGCACTCTGCGCTGCAATCCTTCCGAGCAGCTTCGCCTTTAGCAACATCTGCCTCAGCCACCACGTCGCTACCGGCGGACATTACAATCGAAGCGGCCGTGGCGACCCTCATCGTCGTCCTGGGTATGGTCTTGGGCGCACCCAATCTTCGGCCGATCGAATGGCGCGTGTGGGCAGGCAAAATTGAACGAGAGGGCGAGATGGGATTCCTGACGGGCAGCGGGGAGGTGGAGAAGGACTACGTTGGCAACCCGTTTCAAATTCTGGAGAGCCGGCCCGGCTTCGCCGACGTTCGGAAACAAAAGAGAGACTTTACGAACTGGGTCAAGGCTGGGGGAAAGGCCGGGACCACGGCCAAGTCGGGTTGAGTTCTGGAATGGCGAATGAACATAGTCAAGCCAACAACATGCCTGCAACGTATTTTCAATGTGGGCACGCCCATGTCAGAGTGCTCATCGTAATGGCCTCGGAAGACAGCTCCCTACGATGAATTTGACCCTTCATCATGCAATAGGCAAGGTATTTAGATCCAGTGCTTCTTTCACCACTGTTACAGGAATTTGAGAAAAGGATAATCCAACAGGGGACGAACGGCAGAGAAGACTGTTCCACTTCCCAGGCACATTGACATCGTAGAAGTGCTCGAGGTCGCGTCGGAAGGCAACCTGGCTTCATCAAAGTTAATTACCTACCCTAAATACCCGCTCATACGTAGCCCCGACGGTTGCGCATGCAGGAAACCATCGAGAAGATCAGCAAAGGCTGGCACTCCTTTCGCGGTCCCGCCGTGCTTGCTTTGGGGCACCCAAATGGTGTCAGAGCTAGGTAATCAACGTGCACCAGGAGCGCCTTCTACACAAGATTAGGCAAGTACCCTGGGCACCTTGCCTTACCAACCTTCCCATTGTCTCCGAGGCAAGCACGACTGAATTGGGATAAGTTCAGGTCCCTGACATTTAGAGCCGAGAATTATCTGAACTTGCCGCGAGCGAAATCGTGCCACAGTTACCTGGACATGCTCGTGTTAGTCCTGCCTCCTACCACTACCTAAGTTCTGCCATTCTGGGCTTCTCTTCGTCTCCTTTTCGGATTGTTCACACAATAAATCACGCCTGGATTGCCAAGCGGTTCTTTCCCCCAAGGACATATATTACTCATTGTTCCCTCTCGCCGTGTCTAGTTCTAAACGCCTCGTCATTCCGTCCCATTTACTCGCACGCCCAACAATGCCGGGACGAGGCAGCGCCATGTCCAGTCCTTGGCGTGGTCGACCTCGCAGGAGTATCCTCCACGGAGGTTCCAGAGACCGGTCGAGAGGTGGCTCGCAGAGGGGCTCGTGGGGAGGCCAACGAGGTGAATCATGGACTGGCTCGGATGTCAGCTCAAGAGGGAGCTCATATACACCTCGTCGTTCGAGGGGATCTTCCACTCATGCATATCGAGGATCGCGCGGTAGTTCCAGTGTCGTTGGTCCGCACCACACCTCGCCCATTTTCTCGAGCCCTCGTCGTACCCGTGTACCATCACTTGAGGAGATTTCGCCATCTGCAGGACAATACATTGAAGATTCCGGATATCAAGATCACCTCGTAGACTCCGCGAATCGACTGACACTGCCGTCCAACAACTATTTCTTGCCCTCGATTGCTGCTGAAGTCGAATTCGGCAACCGTCAAATGCCCCTACCACTGTCAAGCAGCGAGTACGAGGCATCGTTACTCCTTGGCAGAGAAGGAATGGCTCAAGTCGAGCGGAGGAACGAGGTTCTTATGGCCATTTCCGTTCAAGTGAAAGGTGTCCTTGGTTGTGCCTATTATGATACAGACGAAAACAGCTTATTTCTTCTGCAGGATATGTCCTGCACTGCGCCGTTGCAGTTTGTCGAAATGCTCATGCTGCACATTCAACCAACGACCGTCTTGCTACCCCTGAAAGTACCGGATGCGATTCTTCACTTCTTTGAGCAATATCAAAGTAATGTGGACCGAGGTCAGTCATTCCTTGAGATAGGGGCTGTGATTTTGGGCGCTCATGAATCATTCTCATAGGATCTGAAAGGGATAACTACATTCTCCGACTTCTAGGTTCAACTGAATTCAGCCACGCGGCTGCTATGGAGAGGTTAACGAATCTACCGATCGCCGCCTCGGAACATGCTCTGGTGACGAATACAGGATTCGGCCTCTCCAGTCGCAGCTTGCAGGGTCCCGGAGAGGAATGCCAAGATGTCAAAACGATGCGTCTCGGGTCTTTTGTAGATCTGGAGAGCGTTGCATCAGTAAGCTATGATGAAGAAAATGCCATATTTGTCGAATGCAATTCTAACACATATAGATTGGCTGTGCCGGTGCCGTGCTGTGCGAGACTATACGACTTCAGAATGCTCAACGGGCAGCAGAAAATATAGAGAGAGCTTTCGGAGTGTCGCTGCGGATGTTTGCTTTGGCGGACTTCATGTTTGTAAACGCCGACACGCTCTCCTCCCTCCAAGTATTCCAATCCGAATTACATCCGAGTAACCTGATCTCCGGCACGGGAAAAGCAGTCTCCGGTTCGAAAGAAAGCCTATCTCTATTCGGCATCTTTCACCCGTTCGCTGGCACCCCTCAAGGCAAGGCACGGCTCAAACAACTCTTCTTACGCCCACTAGTCAACATCGACATGATCCGCGAGAGGCAAGCAACCATTGCGGTATTCCTGCAACCGGGGAACGAAGAGGCCTTTTCGAGCATATCTCAAGGACTACGAAAGGTCACAGATATCAAGAAAACTCTGGCTCAGTTGCAAAGAGGCGCAGCAGAATCTCCGGCTGGCTGGGCTTCAATCGAGCGTGGTGTTTAGTGGACACTTACTCGATTTTCGCTCCATGTGCTACGTCTCAGAGACGCCATACTTCAGCTGCGAAACTCCAATGGCCTTGTCATCATACAAAAGGTCAGCCATGGTAGCAACTTGTCTGACGAAGCGAGAGCTGACTCTATCAACCAGATGGTGCAGGTCGTCGCAGTGGACAAGTTGACGGCAATTATAGATTTGGTAGGAAAGGTTGTCGATTTCGAGGAAACTAAGGCAAACTCACGCATCGCTGTGAAATTACACGTAAACACTGAACTCGATGAATTGAAGCAGACTTACCAAGGGCTAGAATCCCTGTTAAACGAGGTCAGCACAACATTGTCGTTGGAGCTCCCGACGTGGGCTCGCAAATTCGTCACAGGCTGTGTGTTTTGGCCGCAATTGGGCTTCCTCACTGTTGTCCCTTTACTCGAGGGCACTCAGGCAGGCTACGAAGGTCAAGGACTGTCCGGTGACCATTGGGAGCAAAGATTCACGGCGAACGACAATGTATACTTCAAGAACAACCTCATGATGGACTTAGATGACCACTTCGGGGACACTTACAGCAGGATTGTTGGTTCGTGGCGAAGTCCTACTGACAAAATGATTACCTTGCTAAGATTTCTCTAGATCTCGAGGTTGATATCCTGCACGGTCTAGCCTGTAAGATCCTCGAACATGAGGCTACCCTCAGTCGCGTGTCCGATGTTTGCGGCGAACTTGACTGCCTTGTAGCCCTTGCTAGCGGAGCACTCAAATATGGCTGGATATGTCCCACTATGACAGAAGACAACATTGTGTCAATCTACGGAGGACGTCACCCCCTTCAGGAACTGGTGGTGCCTGCATTCATCCCCAATGATTGTATTCTTATCGGAGGCTCTGCCGATGAAGCAAAAACACCAACATCGATGCCAGACAACAATAACATTGGCATCAGCACTCTCATTATCACAGGGCCAAATCATTCGGGGAAAAGTGTATATGTCAAGCAGGTTGCCCTCATTGTTTACCTCGCCCATATTGGCAGCTTCGTGCCCGCTACCGGCGCGACGATTGGCCTCACGGACCAAATTCTAACACGTATCTCGACGCGGGAAAGCGTCTCGCAAGCGGAGAGTACATTTGGTACCGATTTGAGGCAGGTGGCCTTCCTGTTGAATCGTGCTACCCGTCGAACACTCGTGGCAATCGACGAATTTGGCAAAGGGACGGCAGCTGATGATGGAGCTGGTTTGATGACTGCCCTCATTGACCACTTCAGCACGCTCGGTTTACAGTCCCCCAAAGTTCTGATCACAACGCATTATCATGAGATATTCGAAGGAGGTTATCTTCAAGAGCGACCAAGGCTATCGCTCGCGCACATGGAAGTCCGTCTTGATATCGACGCGAACCAGATGGAGGACCAAGTGATTTTTCTTTACAGTCTAGTTCCCGGAAGGAGCACGTCAAGTTTCGGGAGCAGATGTGCAGCGTTGAATGGGATTGATACTGCAGTGGTCGAGCGAGCTGAGGCTATTGTACTGCTCCTCGCCCGAAATGAAGACCTTGGGGTGGTGTGTGCTAGATTAGATGCTACAGATGAGGCTCGACTTGAGGAGGCGGAGAACGTTGCCCGTCAGTTTCTTCGAATCTCCTTGGATGGCCCTGGAAATCCTCAGTCTAGAGGGCGAGGTACTTTGTCTACTCTGGGCATTTTGGAGAGTCTTCTCGTGCCGGCAATGGTTGAGTGAAGTATCTGCGAGAAGTTGAGCTTTATGAGCATGGGGGAAAGTACGAGAGGTCCTGGCGCGTTGCCGGATGACGACTGGCTTAGATGATGCGTGAAAGGGGAAGATTGCTGTTAAGTCTTAGATCCGGTAAAAAAAAATGAGACAATTGTTTGCTAAGTGGGTGATTCGAGTAGCTGATATCAAGACGGCATTTGAAAAAGGACCCCGGTATAGACGTTAGACCCAAGGTAACAAGAGACCGCAGACCCAATTGTCTTGCACTCGCACAACAGTTTCATCCGTGACCTCCCAGAAGACTCCATATGACTGATGTGATGCTATCGCTTAACGATTGAAGTCCAAGGTGTCTGCTGTCACACGTTGGCAATGTTACTCGTGATCAGTACTACCACATTGAGAAACATGAACGCGAATAGAGGCAGCCGCACGTCTCCAGTTATCATGTCACACACATGATATCTTTGATAAACCATGTCTTTTCTCAAGCTGAATCGCTTCAACAAACGTTGGGCGCCTCCGATACCCCTGCTGCATAAATACGGGCTGAGTGTTGTTGTAACCTCAAATAGGCGCCGACGCATGTGCATATAGCCGCCGCGAACCAACATTGGCGGATCCTCTGCAGCGAATCAAGTGAGACAGTGTGAGCGAGTGGTTCGCCCTCCCACTCTCTGTTGCATGGGGTCACCGGCCAGCAAGGACATAAGATGTAGGGCTGAGGTATTCGTGCAGCTCTCTGCTGGCCAAGGCTGTCAGCTCAAGGCATCATCGCAGGCTTTAGCATCAAAAACAGTCTTTTCAGTCTCACATGCTCTGACTGATGGCTATCCGCCAAAAAGTTCAATGGTCGTAGATCATGGCGATACCATTCGCCGCCGCCGCCGCTGCTGCTGTCACGTTGGACGACAAGTTCCAGAATCTAGATGATGAAGCCGTGTACACTCGCGTCAAGGCCGAGGCTGCCAACGACAAGGCTCTCAACTTTGTCGTCGAGTTCAACCTCCACGAGGCCTTCATCGCCTTCAATCTGACCTCTGATGATTTCGACCAGCTCGCCACCCGAAAGCGCAAAGACGACATGGTGCGATGGATCAATATCTGGTCACCGAGCATGCAGAAACCAGCCGTGGAACGCATCGGCGCCCAGTACGGGTTCTCCAAGAGACTTCTCGCCATCATGACGGCTCCGGCCTTGTCATTCATCAAGCAGCAGGCCAACGCGACGCAGGTGTCACCGCAAGGTAGCGATGTTGAGAAGGGGTCGTTGTCTGACGGCCTCGGACTTCCACCACCAGGACAGACGCAGGCGCAAGTGTTGGAGGAGCTTCAGATCTACCAACTCGTGAAGGAGACGGTCAATTACACCTCCATTGACCAGGGGAATGACTGTGAGTTCTCGGACACCCCGATTCCAGAAGTACTGCCAGAAGATAGCTGATTATCGACCAGTCCTCTGCATCGGTGCTAACTGGTTGCACACCCGGCCACATTCTAAAGCCACCGAACATAGTCCAAGTCTGTTACCGCCCAGACACTGGTCATGGCTTGCCCTCAGCTCCGACTGTAAGTTTGCGACATGATCGTACGAATCGTCGTGCCGTGCTCATCACCGACATAGCCGTCGTGGTATCTTTCCACGAGACGCCATCGTCAGAATACCCCGAAGACGAAGAATGGTCCATGGCAGAACTCGTCAATACGAGATCCAACACCACCAGCGTTTTGTGCCAACTATCCAAGCACGGCGTAGAAGATTTCGAACGAAGGCTTCTCTCGCTGAAGCCGGTCAGGCAGGCGATGCCTCGCCAAGGACTCGGCAGCAACACTGCCTGCGAGGGCTCGAGTAATCTTTTCTATTATCTTTTCGAGGATTATTCATCGGCCCTGCCAGTTTTAAGAACTTCCAAGCAAGAGCTGGGTCGACTGGTAAGTCACGGGGACCGAGTCTTGACGACCATGACTTGTAATCGAAGATGGATACCTGCTGATACCAAGTTGCGTTGCAGAGCGATCAAATCTTGAAGCCGGTAGGTCACTGATGCCGTACCGGGAGCAGAGAACTGACTTTCAAGCAAGAGTCGAAGAACCAAGATTAAGACAGGGGAGATTATTGAATCACTACATACTCTGAGAAAGGAGCTCAGCCAACTCCAACACTTGTTTGAGGGTTATAAAAGCCTCATCAAGCGTATCTGTTGGTCGCCTCGGTCCCTAGATGCCTGTCACGAGGGTCAATGCGGACGCCTAGAGTTATCTGGAAATATGTTCGGCGAGGTAAATATATCGTCGTCAGCAAGAAGTCGCTTCGAGCGCCTTGGAGACAGACTGCAACTGTTGATGCTCAACACAATCCAAGAGTATCTAGACGAGCAAAACGCACTCTCGAACACGGTAGGTTTCCGGGAAACATGCTCGAGCCGAGTGTATTGAATGTTTGCTGACGATGCTGCTAAACAGTATTTCAACCTCACGGCCCAAAGGGACTCGCAGGCGACTGCACGCCTGAGCAGGAGCGCTACCGTACTAGCCAAGCTGAGCGTCTTCTTTCTCCCCATAACATTCATGACCAGCTATTTCTCTGTAGAGATACCCGATCTGGTGGAACACTACACCCCCAAGATGTACTGGGTCTGTTTTGCCGTGATTGCCGGAATCTCCTTCATTAGTCTTTTCTTTTTCAGTCGCATGATTGAGATCCTCAGCGATGTGCTCGAGGCTTGGGCCCACACCGCGGTGCGAAGCACCCGGCGTTTTGTTGGACTACGTGTACAAGATGATAGAGACGAACATTAATCAAGATGTCGGGGCGCCGCATTCAATAGTCAAGTGATGTACTGCAAAGAATCGGGGTATTCCCTGTCCATCTCATCTAAGCGGATAATGAGCAAGAAAACAAACAACGCAACACAATCGGAACTCCACGAGTCGTTTCTCTACGTGAACAACTTTGTTCCCACGTTGATCCAACTGCTTGCACTGATAATCCTCTGATTTGCCCTTCATCGCATGGCACCGAACACGGCGATCCCTAAGCCCGCCGCGAGTTTGGCCACGCATGCCGCTGTCGGACGTGCTGCGGCGTTGATGACGACGCCATTCACCGTGGTTGATTGAGCACACTGGTCATTGTTCAAGCCGTAGCATGCTTGGGAGCTAAGACTGGAACATATAGGTGTTGCCGATGTTCCAACGTCCGGCCGGGTTGCGGCGACGGTGGTTCCACCCCCGCCAGGAACAATCACAGTAACGCCGAAGCCCGCATTGCCGTCTAATTGAGTGACGCAACTTTGGTAATTTCGGGAACATTGGCTGAGGGCCGATGAACACTCGCCGCGATCGAGCGATGTCGCTATGTATGGGAATGGAAAGTAGGCATTGGGGACGTATGAAACTGCCGTAGCAGTCGGTACTGTCGTCGGAGCCGTGCCGGTACAAACAGCTCTAAAATGTGCGACTCCAAATTAGCCGGGCTTTGTCTCGTAACGAAGTAATGCCGGAGGTTCAGTCATACCCAGAGGGACAGCAAGCTGGCCGGTTATTATCGTCCAGTTCGCACACTTGTCCCGTGGCGCAACATATTCCATCAAATGTCGCGCCTAGTGAATCCGAACATTTGGATGTGCCAGCCGGGCAATCTTGACGTCTAAATAATTGCAACGGCGCACCGCCTAGCACGTAGGCGGCGGTGGGAACCATAGCCTTGGTGTCAGTTGAAGTCGGAGTTGGGCTCAGGGCGAAAACCATTTCTGTGGTCCCCAGTATTGCCAGTCGCGTTGTCCATCGTGATAACCTCATAATTTCGTGGATTATAATGGGCCAGGCCCGGATCGTAGTTGACGTAGCCTTCCTGTTTCCTCGCCCTAGCCGTGCGGAAGTGGAGGAGTGTCTGTTGCTGCCTTTTGTGATAGATAAGCCGGGTGTCTCCTCGATCCAGGAGTGAATAGTCAGTTATCCGTCCCGGATGGCATCGGGCAGTTGTCTCACAAGCTGGCTACGAATTCGGTGTGGTTGTGGGAAGTGTGGAGGATAGATGGACCGGAGAGCTAATACAGTAGTACTTGTATGTCGCTCTTAAGCTGCTCCAACAGGAGGATTACACGAGTGTCAAAGCCTGCCCGCTGTCAATCTGCTGGGTACCAGCCACAGCCAAGGCTTTCGCCCAATTTCTCGTCCCTGCACTCGAACTACTGTGAGGAAGTAAGGTGAGCTGTCCAACCCCGCCCTCGTTGGTTTGGTGAGGTGGGTTGCATGCATGCAAATTCCCTCGGACTACCCAGGCCAAAAGGACCGCCAGGGTGGGTGAGGTGGCTGGGTATCTGAGCTTCGCAGGGTGAGGGGGTAGGAAGACGCCAATGAGGGTTGCAATCGCATGATGTCATTGGGCGAAGGACAGTTGGCAGAGCAACCCCGGCCTCAGTCCCTCGGGCCCTGGTCTTGATGCACAGAGCAAGCTTTGCACGCAGCACAACACCCTCGTCGCGATTAACGGCCTCGAACATGGGCCAGAATCTGTCTGAGCCGTTGAAGTGCCTGCATCTCGCCGGGGCCTGTCGTAGCTTCTGTCCCATCTCCGCGCGCCCCTTCAATTTCTTGGTGCGCTTGTCGGGCGAGGGACCCGAGGTCACCCCAAACTTCGTCCGTGTAGCTCGTAAGCACATCGTTCCAGCTTTCCATCCACATGGCTCTGGCTTGTTGCACATCTGCGACGCCAAAATGCTGCAATAATTCGCTGGGATCGTCTCCATTCAGAAAATGGGGCTGGAAGTCGAGGAGGGAGGTCCAGTTGGAGGCAGTTCTTCCATGGGCATCGTCGAAAAGGGCTCTTTTTAGCGACAATTCTTCTTCTGGGGATATATACGTCTGCAGGTCGTCATCATTCACGTCAAACCCATCCAACTCGAGAGAGTTTAGTAGATCAACAACGCCTAGGCCGTCGTTGGCCTCTTGTATCTGGAAATCGGACTTGATGCCTGATGAGAGAGGTATGTGTTGAGTGTGTTCGCTGACAAGGACGATCCCAGAGTTGCTTTCCTGAACCTCGGCTGATCTCTGAGGCTGAGAGGGGTCATCGAGAACCGCTTGAGCTTGAGCATCCATGAAGTCTTCATACTGCTGTCCACCAGCGGTGGATAGACCTGTTGCCGAACCAAAGCCCGTGGCGGTGCCGGGGTTCGCGCTGCTTGGACTGCGATACGTAGCAGTATCTCGGTGGCTTCCGGAGCCCTGGGCAGAGTAGGAGGAAGTTCCGGGTGAAACTTTCGCTCCCGTCGTTCCGTTACGGATGGTTTCGGTGGCAGAGGAAGCTGTCAGAGCGCTGCGAGAAAGGCTGGCCGCAGATGCCGTAAGGCGGGATGCAAATGAGGAGTTGGGCGGTGTATTTCGGTCACCTTGCTGATGTAGAGCTGTGCCATCATCAGGCGCCGTTTGGACATCGGAGGGAGGGACGGTGGAAGCTTCTTTGCCCTTGCCCTTGTCTGAAGGACTGGAGACGGCATCGCGACTATTTTGCTCGACCATGCTGATAGGAGTGAAGAAGAGGTGTGTAGTGGGCGCTTGGGGGTTCAGAATGGCAACTTGGGCTCAGCGAGACAAGAGGTTGGTGACATGATATTGCAAGTGCGAGATGAGGGGGATCTAAATGTCTGGTATGTATTCGTGTGTTACACAGAGACCGAGGTTCATGCCTGCCGTGGGCTTCTTGTGTCGTTGATGTGCCGGCCATGGGCCGTAGCTAAGGTAGGTAGGTACCTTGAGCTTGTAGAACGGATAAGGTAAGGTAACCTAGGTAAGGTAGGTACGAAGTACCGTGATTAGGTGTATTCTTTGCGTTCCAGGTGATAAACGGTACCTAGGGTACCTACCAACAGTAAGGTAATGGGCACCAAGTGTGCGAATTGACCCGGAAGCAGTTGACGTCTCTTCGGCAATCTCCATTCGGCCGGGCTCTTTGGCTGCACATGTGAGCCCCGTTTACGAGTTGCGTACGGAGTACTGTACCCCAACGCAGCTGGCAGCTTCAAGCTTCTACTAGGTAGATATTCACCATTCCACTTACGTAGTCGTGGGACGCAAGTGGGGGAAGCACGGGGCGGGGAATCAGAATCACAGTCAAGAGGGGCGTCTTGAACCCCTCAATACCTCGTCAGGGCAAGGCAACATGGCCGAGTGGTCCAAGGCGATAGACTTGAATTATTTGTTGTTCTACATCTATTATCTTCGGATGCGCAGGTTCGAACCCTGCTGTTGTCGACTTTTTGATTCACGATCTACTGAATCATTTCTGTGCCTCTCTCTGTGTCATTTGAGGGATTTGCCCGTGAATGTTGAGTGATACTTACGCTTTTGTCAAGATTATTTATGTAAGCTACTCTACCTAGCTATCGTTCCGTACATGGGACATACATCGATAGCGGCACATTACGGATAAGTAGGTATCCGTACTTACTTACTTTACTTACCCTACTCCGTACTGGGCGAACCTAGGTATGCCTCCAACCCAATTGTGCCACCCACCTCAGACTAAGTAAGGTAAGGTAGGTACTCTGCCCCTCCCCGGTCCCGTCAACAACTGTCTACTGAATTCCAGGTCGACCTTGGGTAGGTAGGGAGTACTCCGTGGCGCGTAGGTACTTCGATATCCAATCGCGATTCCCGCTGGATTCCTATGTTGACCCTCATCCCGCCCGCTCTCATGGCAGCAGCCACAAATCGGAGCTCGTTAGGTTGGGTACGACAACAACCAATGTAGGTACCTCACTTTACCCAAGGCACCTTACCTAAGGTAGGTACCTGGGTAGGTCGCAGTGGACGGGAGGGCAGCACCGGTACCTTACGGCGCCCACCTACCTTATCCTGCTACCAGTGCCATCGATCAGTCAGCCCGGGGTGTATGGAATACAGTACGGATTGGATACCTATCCGTACCTTAGCGAATCTGGAAGACCTGGAAGCAAATCAAGCCCACGCAACATCCCTCTCTCTCTACCTTACCTTAGCGTCACCTCTTTCTATCCCGTCCACCATCACTCCACCACTCCCACCTACCTACCTTACCTACCTGACCTTACCTTCTCACCCCAACCTCAACCTTGCGCAGTCTGCACCCTGCTCTCGCCTACCCGCAATCTGCGCCGCGATACCCCCCCTCCATACGAACAACGTGCAAGCCCTCGACCAACCGACTTTTGGTCTTCGCCGTCATCAGAATATTCAACCGTCCCAGCATCCGAAGCAATACGCCTTTGTGCAAATCCCTGAAGCATTTCCACTCCCGCTGCTGCATACGCCAAACACCACGCACCTACCCTTCCTTACCGCAGAGCCTTCGAGCTACGGGCCTCCCTTTTCAACCCCTCGTCAACTACGACCCGCCCGATCTATCTCTGCCTCATCCCAATGACATAGAAACCACTCGCCTGCTCTTCGTCCGCAATTGCCTCTCGCACTCCTCCACTTTGCCTGCGTGTTTTTAGGTCCCTCTTCTGCGCACATCATCGCAGTTACTCTCACCTCAGCACCAACCCACGCTCTTCGCGCCGTCCAGCTCGACTGTCGTGTGGCCCATCTCAGCCCTGTCCATATTCTCCCAGCGCCGAGAGACAACCTCTCTCTCTCTCTCTCTTTCCGCACCACTAAAGCTCGCCCCTTCATTCGTCTTCGACATACCCCGCCACCTCGCCTCTTCCGCTCGTCCATATCAACATCTACAAGTCCATTTCTTAGCCCGTACAGAACTGGTCTGCAAACATGGTGGACAGCGACACGAACTCCCCCACGTGGAAGTTCACCCAGTACGTGCTCTTGCTCCTTGGCTCCATGTCTTCCTTTCCATTATCCTCATCTCGACTGCCCCGCCCTCGCCCTTGCTGGGATAAGTGCTTACGCTACGCAATAGGTGCTTTGGAGACAAGGGCGATGTGGAGGACATCACCGAAGGTAAGCTGCAGCCCGCAATCCCTTGTCTGGCGACCACTACCGCCGCTACTATGGCAGGTTCTGTCGACTCTATCGTCTGTAGATCTAACCCTTTCTCCCAGCTGATATCATCTCAACGGTCGAGTTCGATCACACGGGTAACTATCTCGCGACGGGAGACAAAGGCGGCCGGGTCGTATTGTTCGAACGGAACGAAACGGTGAGCGAAACCTGGCATTCAAGTGGAAGGCGTACTCTTCATTCTTGACCTTATGCTAATATTCTTGAACAGAAAAAAACATGCGAGTACAAGTTCCATACCGAATTCCAGTCCCACGAACCCGAGTTTGACTACCTGAAGTCGCTGGAAATTGAGGAAAAGATCAATAAGATCAAGTGGTGTCGTCGACAGAATGCATCACACTATCTGCTCTCAACAAACGACAAGACGATCAAGCTATGGAAGGTATTCGAAAAGTCGCTTAAGGTCGTTGCCGAGAACAATCTATCCGATGACTTGACTCCCGCAAACCTCGCTGGCGGTGGGGGTGCTCCGAAGCAGTCACCTGCGCATCGCTTCAAGAACTCTGAAGACCTCATCATGCCCCGCCTGACCCATCATGACACCGTCGTTGCCGCCGTACCTCGCCGAACGTATGCAAATGCCCACGCCTATCACATCAACAGCATATCCGTCAACAGCGATGGCGAGACATTTATCAGCTCGGACGACCTCCGCATCAACCTCTGGAACCTGAATATCCAGGATCAGAGCTTCAACATTGTCGACATCAAGCCTGCAAACATGGAGGAGCTGACTGAGGTTATCACCGCTGCCGAGTTTCACCCTCTTAGCTGCAATTGGTTCATGTACGCAAGCTCCAAGGGCACCATCAAGCTTGCCGACATGCGCCAGAGTGCTCTCTGTGATAGCCACGCAAAGCGTACGTACTGCGCTTCTCCGTCTGAACTCTTTGCGATCTGCTCGACACTAACATTTTGTCATCGATGTAGTCTTTGAGCAAGAGGAAGATCCGTCCTCGAGGTCGTTTTTCTCCGAAATCATTTCCTCCATCTCAGACGTTCGATTCTCCTATGATGGTCGTTACATTCTCTCTCGCGATTACCTAACGGTGAAGATTTGGGATATCAACATGGAGCGACAGCCCGTCAAGACGATTCCCATCCACGAGCACCTGCGTCCTCGGTTATGCGATACGTATGAGAACGACAGCATCTTTGACAAGTTTGAGGTTGTCTTCTCAGGGGATGCCAAGAATGTCATGACTGGCAGCTACAACAACAATTTCATGATCTATCCTTCAGACCCCGACAAGGAAGTCGAAGTGGTGCTGCAGGCCGACAAGTCTGCCTTCAAGGCTAAGAAGGTTGGCGTACCGACACCCATCAATTCGTCTACGAGCCCAACCGCAACCAATGGTGGCAAGAAGGGAGGTTCCCGTGCTGGCAGTCCTGCTGCTGGAGCCGGTGGCCAGGGCCAAAGGATGCGCAAGGAAACCGATGCCGACCAGATCGACTTCAACAAGAAGATCCTCCATATGAGCTGGCATCCATTTGAGGATAGCATCGCGATTGCGGCAACGAACAACGTAAGTCCTTGGCGGCATGACGATTCTCTTTCCATCCCTGGAATTTGGGGGTTGAGTGGGCTGACTTCTTTCATAGCTATTTGTCTTCTCTGCACTATAAGGATGAATAACAACCGAAGCCCTTGAGCACTATGACGAGTGAGGACACTCATGCTCGGACGAAGCACAGCGACACAGTTGGACGATGTGGATCGAGGCTATCGCCTCCTACAACCTGGAGGATTTGGTTGACAGGAGAAGATGTCTCGGGTCTACGTCGCAGCTGTGGCCTCTTGATACAATCGCCGTCTTTGCCAGACTTTCGAATCAAGAGGCCAACTCGACCAGTAGGAAAGAGTTTGCTGGGTACTCGGGACCATCGAAAAGTGCTTGGGGAGAGGACAGTGGTGAAGGAACACGTGGAAGATATGGAAGAAGCACTAGGAATAGATGGACCCGACCATCGTGTCACGTCGTCACGGTTATCAATGCCTCTCTGATTTCTATAGTAGAATTGGAGGCAACGAGATTCTCGCCTGTTTTGAGCATATGGTGACGTATGATGGTAAGCCCAAGTACACGAGATGCAGTATCCGAGTGTCGCAGGTGTGCACTGCGGAGGTTATTGACATACCCTTATACCTAATTATCCAAGGTAACGGATATTTCACCTACCTTTCTGAGGGTTCCCTAAAGGCTACTGCTGCAATTTGAACATGAGAGGACGGTGCTTCCTGCATGCGATTCGACAATCATGCAGCGACCTGATGCCCAGATGCTGTCATTCAAGATTGGTCCCACGGCTGTGGTTTGTCCCGTTGCGCAAGATTTCGATTTCTTAACTTTATTCCCCGAAATAGATCTGTATCAACTACCTACTACCTAAGAACTCGCACTTATCTATGCAGGTAGGTGAAGTTGTGTGGGTTGGGTGGCTTGAGGTACCTAGATTGGTTCTCAAGGGATCTCGAAGATCCTGTCAGGTCCCAAGCCTACCTAGCTAGGACGAGGGAATCGAGCAAAGTATGGATCCTCACGCAGGCACGCTGAGGCCATCTTTAGATACCTGACCCAGGTAACGAAAGGTACGGATAAATAGTCGTGACGGAGGTGTGTTAGCAAGCGTATTAAGTAGCACGGCAAGAGCAAGTGGAGCGGGGCATGTTGCTTGAGGTAGCCGCCCCAACCTGCAACCGCTGGCTCATTGACTTCATTGTACAACTTTGATCATAACCCAAGACTACCTTACCGCTTGAGGTAGTAAGTGAAGCCTCCAACTTTGAGAGCATGAGCGGAAAGCCTGGGTGGGGGCTTCAGCTGGATCCAATGCAAGGGAGCATGTATCAACTCCAAAGTGAATTCGAGTAGAGGCTCCTAAGGTCTGTCAGGGACAAGTGCCGTAAACTAGGTAGCCTGGTTTCCCAAGCACCCGACCCCCATCGTGAAAGTCTTCATGGAACCATAAAACGACTGGAGAGACTGATAGACACAGACGTGGTCTTTGATGGAAGTTTGGGGCGGAGCGGAGTCCCGACACAGCCCGGGCAGCTCAGATCCCAATTGCGCCACTGTCATTGGCCGCCCTCGCCCTGATCTGTCCTCTAAACCTTAAGGTAAAGGAAGGTACCTTACTAAGTTACTCCGTACCTCGTACCTGGTTCCTGTCCCAGCTGTACCGGCGTCCCAGTGTCTCGGACACGCTGCACGCTGCGCGCCGCACCTTTGCAATTATACTTTGAACCCCCCCCAAAAGTCTAGTCCAATCCTTTCAACTATTCGCACGCAGGCTTCGAGCAGCCTCAATGTCCTCTCCGGCGACTACTCGACGACGCGGACAGCCGAAAGGCATCTCATCGCCTCCCTTGGAGAAGATGGATTCTCCTGCTCGGGGTTACGATGACGATAAGACGGTCGATCAAGCCGCCAAAGGTTCGGCCATGAATGGACATGCTTCTAGCGAAAAGTCCCTGCAGACTGCCGGTCGCATAGCCGCCGGTCTCTTTTCCCAATGGATCACCGTTGGTGTTATGCTTGGCCTGATTTTTGGCGGCTGCTGCTCCAATGTTGGTGAACCTATGCTCAACCGACCGTATCAGAGCTACAGACATGCTGACCTCACTGTTTAAAGGTGTATGCCTTGGAAGCTATCATCAAGTAAGCACTGCTCCCATACTCCGGCTTTGCCGTCAAACTTCTGAATGTTTGCAGTTGCTAATCGTGCCCTTTCCCTCCAGGGTCGAACCTGCAAGTGGTATGTCACCATGAACCCCGCGCTCTATAGCCCCTCCTGACAAGTTCGTGTGCAGGAACCCTCCTGACGTTTGTCCAATTCCTCTTTGTCGCTGTCACCGGCTACTTTTCCCAATTCGATCGATCGAGACCACCGCTCTTCTTGCAGCAGAACAAGGTCCCTCTACGCCGCTGGATCATCAATATTGTGCTGTTCTTCAGCATCAATGTGTTGAACAACCATGCCTTCAGCTATGACATCTCCGTTCCTGTGCATATCATTCTTCGGTCCGGTGGAAGTATTACAACCATGGTTGCCGGGTCTCTTTATGGGAAAAAGTACTCTCGCATACAGATCGTGGCTGTCGTTCTCCTGACATTCGGTGTCATCACCGCAGCGTGGTCGGACTCGCAGTCAAAGGTACGCAAGCGTTGCCCAAATCCTGACGGGCTCTCTCGTTCTAATTGCTGTCCAGACCTCTTCAAAGGCAATCGAGGGGAGTGGCAAGCCCGCTTTTGGGACCGGCCTCGTTGTGCTGTTCGTGGCACAGGTCCTCTCCGCCATCATGGGTCTCTACACAGAAGAGACGTACAAACAATACGGCCCCCATTGGCGAGAGAATCTCTTCTACTCACACCTTTTGTCACTACCGCTCTTCTTGCCGTTGGCGCCATCACTGATCCGCCAATTTCGAAAACTAGCAAACAGTCCGCCTCTATCACTCCCCATGGCGCATCTTCCCGGCCTTGGCCTCAAAGGAGACGTTGGAGATGGTCTCTTCAAACTTCAAGTTCCGAGCCAACTTGCCTATTTGGTGACAAACGTCGTTACCCAGTACGCATGTATCCGGGGTGTAAACTTGCTCGCTGCCGTGTCCTCAGCATTGACTGTCACCATTGTCTTGAACATTCGCAAGCTGGTCAGTCTACTTTTGAGCATATGGCTTTTCGGGAACCGCTTGGCTGTGGGGACTCTAGTCGGGGCAATGATCGTGTTTGGAGCTGGAGGCCTATACTCATTGGATTCCAGAGCTAAGACCTCTAGGGTGCAAAAGAATGTGGGTGCGAAATAGAGCTAGAAAGTTTAGACAGTCACTGGACGGACTTACACATCCGATTCAGAGATAGAAAACCCTTCCAAGAGACTTCCAGACATCCATACCTATGGTTGTGTTCAACAGCAGGCGTCTGATTGGGGAACCAGCATGGTTGATGTTTGTACCTCTCGAAAGTGGCCCACCGACTTTATGACTACAATCTTTGACTCATCCGGCGAGCTTCATGACTTGGTTATAGACTATTGAATGGTAACGACCTAGACAGGCAGGGTAGATGCCCGTAAGTCAAAGACAAGACTGGTTCCATAATATCTTACCTGAGGGGCCAGAGACATAGGCATAACGGGTAGGTGCCCTACCTTAGGTAGGTATATGATAGCCTATCACCGTGGTCGCGGTCAGTGGCAGCTTAGGACCCCGCCGCGGTCACGAGTCGGAGGTCGGAGCCAACCGCTACCCCTCCACCACCCGCTTAAGTATCCATTGTCCTCTGGTTCTTATCCCACTTTGGAGTGCTAGTGCATGCGATTACCCGATACTGCGATAGCTCCTGCATCATAATTCTGCCGTTGTCTCTGGGGAATTGCTGGATCTTTGTTTTCTTTTTTTCTTTTCTTGGGGGAAGGGCTCTACAGAACTCCACGGTAGGGTTCAACACGCTTCTCAATATGGCTGGTATGTACTCTTTGAAGCCTCTTCCCCCAAACGGATATGGTAGTTTCAATTCACGCTGGTAAGCTACCCCTCATTCCTCATAGAAGGCCAAGTTCTTCTCCCATCCTATAGCGTATAGCTTCGTGCTTCGTAATGTGCTGACAGTTTGCCGTAATCAGACACAAGCCTTGTTGAATCCAAAAGACCCGACGTCCGCCTCAACCTCCCCCAAAAGAGGCCCCACGTTCTCGCTCCACGATGGTGACACCGACTCTGACGGCGAATTGGGTGCGCTGGACTCTCGAGGCGACAATAGCTCCGAGGGGTCAGGGGGGCAAACTCCCGGTGATGCACCCGCGTCAGATGCAAACCCTTTGTCGCCCCATGGCCAGGAACACGATGGAGCGAGTCTGCAAGACGGCATGCTTCCTCGGGACCTCCCCACAAGGACCGCCTTCTACGACCCTGTTGCGGACCGCCAGATGAGCCAGACTGACGCCAAATTGTTTTACCAACGTAGCCAGGTTGGTCAGCTGAAGACGGGTAGTGGTGTGTGGTCTCAAGGCCATGCGACACCCCACGGAAGCCCAGTCATTGTCGGCTCTGAGCATCGTGACGTTTCTGCCGGCACTCGGAATCTCGACCATCCGATGGACTCATCTCCCCTAGGTAAAGGACAGGGCCAAGTGAGAGGCAAAGCTGCGACACACGAAGAAATGATGCTGCCGGAACCGACGCAGCAGCAGCAGCAGGCTGCCAGTGCAGAGCATTTCTCGCCTCCGCGGAACCAGCCTCTTCACGAAGTCGACCCCAGGCTTTTGAATAGTGAGTTCAGCAATCTGGGCCTGGGCCACGAGCCTGGCCCAAGTATTGGCATTACGAACCAGCCTGCTGCCCTTGGTGTTGCTGCCTTTTCAGATACCGATCCGCACATTACGGCCGAGCTCAGTGCTATCTCGAAGAATATCCAGAGCATCATGGACCTACGAGAGAGGTACATCGGACTTTCTCTCCAAAGGCCTGATGACAATCCTAGGGATGATCCTACTTGGTCGATATACCCACCTCCTCCCCAGCCAGCTTGGGGAGCCGAGCACGCAAGAGCTGCGGTTTCTGTCGAGCATACCACTAGCAACGCCAATAGCTTGAATGGCAGCATGGTCTTGCCATCATCTGCCAC